GCAGGTGTTTGAAATATGTGCAGAAGTGGTGGCTCTCTTAAGAAATGAAAAGAAAATGAAAGAAAAACAAAGAAAAATTGGAAGCAAAAGAGAGCCACTACCAAAAATATGAATAATGCCCATTAAGTAGTGTTTCTTAGCAGTCTGGCTTGGAAATGCTAACATTTATACCTCCTTCGCTTTTGTGCTCTTGAGATATTGAGTAATGCAAAATAGCAGAAAGGAAATACCGGTTTGTTTGACTGTGATTGTGTGGGTTTGGAATTGTGGAACCTTGTGCTATGAATACTTCCACCACCTAAAAGGCCTTTTCCCCATGTCCAAGACCCTAGCCAGTCACTTGAACCTGTGTCTAAGACAACCTGATTAGTTAGTGATGACAACCATATATGTGAACTCTAGCATTTAGAGGCTGCCATCATGGTGAAGAGATGTTAGGGATTGAGAGAAATAACATGCGCATTTTTCGCATCAAATTGTCCCGACCCCACTGGTCGAGAGTGAGTGATTCATTTTCATATTCTATATACTCTTGTACCCCGGTGAGGACCTAGATTGCTCGGTCTCTATTCTGATGTCTTGAGTTGGATGTATGAGTTGACTGTTTTGAGTGAGTGATTGAGTCAAGTCTAGGTTGGTTGATGAACAGAAGGGAGACTCTTCCTTTACTCGATTTTGCTGCACTCGAATGTCCTTTGTGGTGGTTGTCCAGGTTGCTATTGAGGTTGTTCATGTATTGATGTTTGAAAACCAGTACGATTCACGTGTTCTGTGCCTTTATGACTTGTCCCCAATGTTGGTTGATTGAAATATGTGAGCTTACCTTGTATCTGACTTGGTTTGCTTGGGGACAAGCAAACGGTTAAGTGTGGGGGAGTTTGATAGACCGTTAATTACACATTTTTTTACCCCTGTTCTTACACCGTTTGAGGTGTTGATTCTCCTGTTTTAGGTCGATTTCACGCTAGGTTGTGCTTGTTTGTGATATTTCAGGTCCTAGTACGTGAATGGAGGCTTGGGAGCGAGTTTGGGGTCGATTGGACGAAGATCGAACGCGTGGCGAGGTGCTAAGGAAGCCGCACGGGCATTCCTAGACATCACACGACCGTGCAACTCACATTTGTGGCCGTGTGATTTTCGCCGAGAGCAAACACGGGCAGGATGGAAATCCCACACGGCCGTGCGACCCTGGCCGTGTGGGAAGCCTGAATTTCGACTTAATGATACGCCGCGTTTTGACTCACACGGGCAACTGGGTGAGCCACACGGCCGTGTGGACTGCCCGTGTGAGTCGGGAAATCTTGGTTTTTCAGCCAATTTCGAGCCACAAGTGAGAAGGTCGGACTTTTTGAGCAAAAACAGAGCCCTAGAGAGAGAAAGGACGAAGAACACATCGTAGAAGCTATCTTGGAGCTGGGTTTCATCAAATCGAGTTTGGAGATCGTCATAGGAGTGGAAATCATCATCCCAGAGCAGATTCTTCCCATTGTAATGAGTATGACTGCTTTGTACCTTGTTTTCCTCTCTCTCTCTCTCTCTCTCTCTCTCTCTATGGAGTAGAACCTCTCTCTCACTTGGGGATGAAGAACCCTAGTTCTATGTGTTAGGGATTGATTGTAATGACTTGGGATGATATTACTGTTTGATTTTAATCGAATGATGCATGTTTATTGAGTCAATTGAAGTATGATCAACTTTTCCTGATTCCTGCTGCAATCTGAGATAGATAGAATCTGATTAGGTTGCTAGAGTCTCATAATTCGGTAGTAGGAGATTGGCTATACGAGAGTTAGCCAGTTTACTGCTTTGTACTGGAATCCAATTCCAGTAGTGGAGTTCTGTTCTTACTACTTCAGCTTTCTATCCCGGTGAAGACTAGTCGTCTGCCGGGTAGTTAGATTGAGAGGACTTGGTCAGCTTAAGAGATTCCAAGCTACTGTCGAATCTTCCGCAGTCTAATCAACAGTAAATCAACCCAGGGAAATACAATTGAAACCTAACTAAGGAGCTAGGGGGACTCATTCCCGAGTGACTCTTACCTGCTTGAGAAAACCGTACCAATTCCTGCTTTCTTTCTGCTTTTGCTTTTACACAACAAACACTTAACTTAGTTGGCTAGATAATTGAGAATCACTGAGTAAGCAGTAGATCTAGACCCCGGGTTGATAATATAACTTGTCACTTTACTGCATTCCCGGACTGCGATTATACTTGGTCGCAGTTTGGTGTTATGTTTTAGAGCATCACCACATCACAAATGAAATTATGTGGCACTGCACCTGTATTTTTCACAGTAGCTCGTTGGGAACCTCAAGTTCAAACCGTAGCCCAAGTATCAACATAAGATAACTACAAAATGATAAATGATAGACCGTTAATTACACATGTTTTCACCCGTGTTCTTACACCGTTGGAGATGTGGTTTCTCGTGTTTTAGACCGATTTCATGCTAGGTTGTGCTTGTTTGTGATATTTCAGGTCCTGGCAAGTGAATGAAGGTTTAGGAGCGAGTTTGGGGTCGATTGGGCGAAGATCGGGCGCGAGACGAGTCACAAAGGAGGTCGCACGGGCACACCCACAACCCACACGGCCGTGCAAGTGACCAGTTTGGCCGTGTGGGATTGTGCGAGAGCAAACACGGGCAGAGCAGAAAATCCACACGGCCGTGTGAGGATGCATTTTGGCCGTGTGGAATTCTGCGAGAGCAAACACGGGCAGGATGGAAATTTCACACGGCCGTGCGACCCTGGCCGTGCAAGAAGCCTGGAATTCAACTAATTGATACGCTGCGTTTTGACTCGCACGGGCAACTGGGTGAGCCACACGGCCGTGCGGACTGCCCGTGTGAGTCGGGATTTTCTGCTTTTAAGCAGATTTTCAGCCACAAGTCGAGGGGATTCGAGTTTTAGAGAGACAGAACGATTCCTAGAGAGAGAAAGCGACGAACAAGAGTCTCCAAGTGCCCTAGCTTGTTCTTCATCACCATTGGAGGCCAGTTTGAGCTTGGAGAAGTGCCGATCAACATCCAGGAGCAGGAACCCATCCTTCACAGTATGAATTCCGCGTCTGATTCTGCTTTTGCTTCTTTCTCCATGGAGTAGTTCTCCCATTCATCAGGGTATGGAGAACCCTAGATTTGTATGTTAGGCTTTGATTGTATGAACCCAAGTACTGATTCTATGATTTGATTATATTCGATTGAGGTTTGAATGATTGAATGACTTGAATCCTGATCAAATTCCTGTTGTTTCTGCTTTAACCTAGAATGAGAATATCTGCCTAGGTTGATAGAGCATCCTTGATTGAAGGTAGGGAGTTGGTGACTTTAGTCGAGGAGCCAACTCACTATTCTGTACCGGATTTATTCCGGTAGTGGAGGTTTTGTTTGTTAAGGCCTCAATCTGTTTACTCCGGTGGAGGTTAGTCGCCCTCTAGAGACTCAGATTGAGAGGGTCTGAAGACCTTTAGTCGAGACTTCAGGCTGTTTAAGAACCTTCCGCAGTATAACTTTCATAGAAACTGAACTTGGTAATTACAATCCGGCTTAATTGCAGTCAAGGGGGAACCATATCCGGGTGACCTCTCTTAACCTGAATACAACAGTTTACTTGCTTTGTTAGTTTGTTAGTTTAGACTTGCATTAAAGTTTCATTGGTAGATAACAAGAATTCACTGAGTAGTCATCACATCTAGGACCCGGGTTGATAATTAAACCTAAACCCGCTATACTACGCTTTAGGAAGTGGTTACACTTGGCCAATTCCTGGACTGACAGTAGAAGTGAGTCAAGTTTTTGGCGCCGTTGCCGGGGACGGCTAGGTTGTTGAAGAAAAGTGTTTTCTGTTAATTTAGCCTTTTCTTTTCGCTTTGTTTGCTTTGTCCCACTTGTGCCTTCACGGGTTTGCTTGCTTGAGTGTGTGAAGGTAGTGCATGACCCGTAGCCAGTCGGGAGGTTTACTGCCGTTGAATCCAGAGATTGAACGCACCTGTCGCCAACTCAGGAGACAACAGCAAGCTAGATTGGCTACGGAAGAGCGCCTAGACGGCCACTTGAGTAGCGATTCTGAAGAAGAGTACGGGATGGACGGAGACGACAATCAGCACCAGGGGAATCCTCAGCAGGCTCCCCCGGTGAATCAGGTCCTGGGGAACAACCCCATACCCCATCACCTCTTGGGACGATCTGGCTGACCAATTCGTGCACAGGTACTATCCGACATCGAATACTACAGAGATCCAGCGGGAGATCACACACTTCCGCCAAGAGCCAGATGAGTCACTTCGTGATGCATGGGAGCGGTACATGGGATATTTCTGGCAGTGTCCCTATCATGGCTTTAGTGATGCATTCACAGTGCGGAACTTCTACAGTGCTCTCTCTCCAGACAGCCAGAGGGTGATTGAGTCTCTATGCCCAGGAGGGGATATTCTTACTAAGACTCCACCCGAGCTGAACCAGATGATCAGTACTTTGGCTGCCAGAGATCATTCTTGGGGACAGGGTAGTCGAGGCAGACAGTCCCGGGACCGTGGTGTGCACGCCATGGAGACCAGATCCGGGCTCGAGCAGCAGGTAGCTGAGCTAGTGCAGACATTGAAGCAGCCCAACAGTCTTATTCCGGCCAGAGGTTTAGCTACACCTCCAATAGCTCAATGTCAGTGGTGCGAGAGCTCCAATCACCTAGTGGAGGACTGCCAGGCTATGAGGGAGTCTACCACTCCCCAAGAGCAGTTGGACTTCATCGCCAATGCTCGGCGCCTCGACCCGTACAGAAACACATAAAATGAGGGGTGGCGCCAGCATCCCAACTTCGCCTGGAGCAGCAACACCACTAAACCACCTGGTTTCCCAGCACCAGCAGGTGGTTTTCAGCAGAGGCAGCCCTTCCAGGCTCGACAGGGGCCAGCCCCATAGCAGCAGCCCTACCAGCCTAGGCAGGGGCAACCATTCCAGCAGCCCCAGCGCCAGTTTTCCGAGCCAGCAGCAGCTCCAGCCCCAGATGACAAAGCTGGAAAATATTCTAGCTTCATTCATGACTAGCACTCAGGCTGCTATCACGTCACTGGAGGCAGGTCAGATGAACCAGGGTGCCATTTTGCAAGATCTGCAGACCCAGGTGGGCATCTTGGCCTGCCAAAACACTACCAGGGCACCGGGGACTCTGCCTACCACCACTATCCCGAATCCTCGGGATCCTCACCAGCTCCAGCAGCTGGATGCCATTTTTACCAGGAGCGGTAAGACCATATCTGCTGATCCTGTCCCGGCCAGACAGGAGGAACCACTACCTGCTTCAGCACTTCCAGCCGACGATGTAGAAGTGCGGGTGGAGAAGGAAGCCCCTGCTCCCAAGCCACAACCAGTGGTTAAGGAGCATGTACCCCAGCTTCCCTTCCCCACTCGCCTACACAAAGACAAGTTGGAGACTGAGTTTGCCAAGTTTATGGCAATGTTGAAGCAGCTCAACATCAGCATGCCGTTCGTGGAGGCACTGTCAAAGATGCCCAAGTATGCCAAGTTCATGAAGGACCTTCTCACCAACAAGAAGAAACTTGGGGATCTTTCGACAGTGATGCTGAGCGAGGAGTGTTTTGCCATCCTGCAGAACAAGCTGCCCGAGAAGCGAAAAGACCCAGGGAGTTTCACTATCCCTCTTGTTATTGGCAGCATGCATGTAGGAAAGTCCTTGGCGGACCTAGGCGCGAGCATAAATGTCATGCCTTATAATTTGTTTAAGAAGCTAGGCCTAGGTGAACCTAGAACTACTAGGATGAGCATTCAGTTAGCTGATCGTTCTATCGTGCATCCTAGGGGTATCATTGAGGACTTGCTTGTTAATGTGGGTGCATTCACATATCATGTTGACTTTGTTATTTTGGATATAAATGAGGATGTGGATGTGCCTTTGATTCTGGGTAGACCATTTCTTGCCACCGCCAAGGCACTTATTGATGTGCATGATGGTAAACTGATCTTGCGTGCTGGGAATGAACATGCTACTTTTTCTGTGACTGAATTTGATCACTGTGCTATGATTGCTGTCACGCCTGTACATGCCATTTCTGATCAGGTACACGAGCCTGTCGTGTACCCTTCTGCACCTCTTATTTTGCAGAACCCTCCTATTATTCCTTCGCCGCCACTCCATCCAGCCTCACCTCTGAACAAAAAGCTCAAGGAGGAGTGGCGGCCGAAGCAGCAGGTTGCTAAGCCTGCACGGAAGAAGAGTGGAGACCACTATGAGCTGGTCCCACCTCCTGCACCGCGACCACCCTGGCCGTCCGAGTACTCACTCGCCTGCATCTTGCCAGATGGCCAGATCGAGCTGACTGATGATGGTGGTCACATCCGTCGGGTGCATGGCCACAACCTTAAGCTGTACCTCAAGAGCGACGTGGATCCTCTCTTGGAGGCACCTGTTCCTTTACCTCCCTGAGTATCCACCATGGGCGTCCAGCTAAAAGACGGTAAAGAAGCGCTTGTGGGGAGGCAACCCCACCACGGTTTGACTTTCTTTCTTGTGTTTTGAGTCGGATTGTAAACCAGTTTGGTTTTGGTTTGTTTTCTTTTGTTTTGGATGATGTATTATTGGGCTGACCATTGGACCTAACATATTGTGTTTGAACTCTTTGGTTTCCTTTGGCTGTGCTTGTCTTGACTGGTCCTCTCTCCAGTCCGCTTCACTCCGACTGGTCCGCTTTCAGCCTCGTGCAGTCCGTGCATACCGGTAACATCGTTCCCCTTTCCCTTCCCTCTTCTCCATTGAGGGCAATGTCGATCTTAAGTGTGGGGGGATGTTTATCTTTTGACTGCATTAGATCTGTTTGTGTGCTTGGAGCCTAGTCCACTGTCCAAATTTTTAAATTTGAGGGCTCCAAGTATGTGTTTCCATGCAATTGCCTGCTCAGTATGCTTTGAATTGACAGTCTCTATAGTAATATGCAACCTAGGGAGGTGGTGTAGCACTATGGAGGATGTTGATCCATTTAAGAAATCTCATTTCTTCTTCATATTGTGTTGGTTGATTGAGTGAATTAGTGATCTTAGGACCTTTGAATTGTGTGGTGTTGTGGACTCTCCACCTGTCATGGACTCTTGTATCATGTTTTGAGTTTAACAGGTGCTCGAAAATGTGCTTCAAAATAACGTCTCCCGTGCGAATAGGGCGAAAGTGTGTAAGGGGAGACGGGAATTCGTTCCCAATTTCCACCTACTACCTCCAGCCCCCTTACATGTCTTTCCCCCGCACGAGGCTCGAGACATCCGCTCCTGGCATAGCCGGTAAGAGCAGGTTGGGACCCTTGAAAGAAAAAAAAGAAAAAATAACAGAAAACAAGCAAAACAGAAAGAAAAGGTGTTCCAACCATTTTCAAGAAGAAAATAGAGCACCTTAAAAAATGTGAGTCCATGATCCTTTGTTTTTGAGAATCTCTTCATCCACAATTCATTTGTCCTCTGTTCACTGTTTGCCATGATGCCGACTCGATACTAGTGCTCTCGCCGAAGAAGCTATGAGATGACTTGTGCGTCGGTTGACCTCGTAAGCTGCTAAATGATCTAGGAAATCCTCTACCTACGATCTGGGTTGTTTGTTGCTATAGAGGTCTGGAGAGTTGCATTGGTTTGAGTTAGGTTTGCTTGGGGACAAGCAAACGGTTAAGTGTGGGGGAGTTTGATAGACCGTTAATTACACATGTTTTCACCCCTGTTCTTACACCGTTGGAGATGTGGTTTCTCGTGTTTTAGACCTATTTCACGCTAGGTTGTGCTTGTTTGTGATATTTCAGGTCCTGGCAAGTGAATGAAGGTTTAGGAGCGAGTTCGGGGTCGATTGGGCGAAGATCGGGCGCGAGACGAGTCACAAAGGAGGTCGCACGGGCACACCCACAACCCACACGGCCGTGCAAGTGACCAGTTTGGCCGTGTGGGATTGTGCGAGAGCAAACACGGGCAGAGCAGAAAATCCACACGGCCATGTGAGGATGCATTTTGGCCGTGTGGAATTCTGCGAGAGCAAACACGGGCAGGATGGAAATTTCACACGGCCGTGCGACCCTGGCCGTGCAAGAAGCCTGGAATTCAACTAATTGATACGTTGCGTTTTGACTCGCACGGGCAATTGGGTGAGCCACACGGCCGTGCGGCCTGCCCGTGTGAGTCGGGATTTTCTGCTTTTAAGCAGATTTTCAGCCACAAGTCGAGGGGATTCGAGTTTTAGAGAGACAGAACGATTCCTAGAGAGAGAAAGCGACGAACAAGAGTCTCCAAGTGCCCTAGCTTGATCTTCATCACCATTGGAGGCCAGTTTGAGCTTGGAAGTGCCGATCAACATACAGGAGCAGGAACCCATCTTTCACAGTATGAATTCCGTGTCTGATTCTGCTTTTGCTTCTTTCTCCATGGAGTAGTTCTCCCATTCATCTGGGTATGGAGAACCCTAGATTTGTATGTTAGGCTTTGATTGTATGAACCCAAGTACTGATTCTATGATTTGATTATATTCTATTGAGGTTTGAATGATTGAATGACTTGAATCCTGATCAAATTCCTGTTGTTTCTGTTTTAACCTAGAATGAGAATATCTGCCTAGGTTGATAGAGCATCCTTGATTGAAAGTTGGGAGTTGGTGACTTTAGTCGAGGAGCCAACTCACTATTCTGTACCGAATTTACTCCGGTAGTGGAGGTTTTGTTTGTTAAGGCCTCAATCTGTTTACTCCGGTGGAGGTTAGTCGCCCGCTAGAGACTCAGATTGAGAGGGTCTGAAGACATTTAGTCGAGACTTCAGGCTGTTTAAGAACCTTCCGCAGTATAACTTTCATAGAAACTGAACTTGGTAATTACAATCCGGCTTAACTGCAGTCTAGGGGGAACCATATCCGGGTGACGTCTCTTAACCTGAATACAACAGTTTACTTGCTTTGTTAGTTTGTTAGTTTATACTTGCATTAAAGTTTCATTGCTAGATAACAAGAATTCACTGAGTAGTCATCACATCTAGGACCCGGGTTGATAATTAAACCTAAACCCGCTATACTACGCTTTAAGAAGTGGTTACACTTGGCCAATTCCTGGAGTGACAGTAGAAGTGAGTCAATAAACCTAATCTCGAAACAACTAACCATACGTAGCTTATGATGCATACTGATTCCTCAGTTGCAGAAACCAAAGTCATGGACTTGTTTTAAGTGAAAAACTTAAATCTAGGAGGCTTAAACACGAAATGATAAAGAGAATCTATTTCGTCTTCCTTGAGACTTCAAGAAATGCGTCAATGAAAGTAGAAAACTCACCTTGAAGAAAAATACCGCTGCAATCAGTCCAATTTGTGAATAATCAAGCACGGTATATCAACATTAAGAAGAAATCTAATCATCATACCTTTAAACATGGAGGCCCTCACAGTCTCTGGCGCCTCAAATTGAACCTCCTTCGCGTGCTTTACCCGTGCCTCCTGTTCCAAATTAAGCCTGGTTCCTCCTCTTTTGGATTCCTTAGCGGCCAGCGACGGGGAATTGGAGGGGTTGCGTTGCAAGAGAGAAGGGAATTCTGGAGGGGGAAAGAGGGGAAAGCAGTTGGCTCCCACCAAGTACAATTGAATCCAACTTGAAGTAGTAGGAAGGTGGTGCGGTGAAGCAATCCAGAACTGATACAGATCCTTTCAAGCCATTCTTATTCCATGTGCCCTGGAACTAATCTGAACACTTCCCACCTACAATTTCCTCTTTGATCTGACATCTCCATCACCAATAATCCTCTCCAATTTCAGCAGCTCATTCATCAACAACTCGTTAAAGTTCAAAACTTCATTTCCTGCTACCTTCCCACATATACTAACCACTGATTCAAGAGTCTAAGTCTATAAGAAAGCAACCAAGTTGGACACTCGGATCAGTATTGGCCAATCGAATTACCTACAACCCATGGAAGAAGATCAAAGAGAAAAGCATACATTCCCTAACGGCGAGGCCGTCAACTTCCAAACTGATTTGGGAAATGAGCCGAAAAGCTTCTCCATTTTGCCATTCTTTCTCATCTCAAGGAGGCGCTCCTCCTGGCTAATTGGGGGTTCAAGCAGAACCATTTTGGAGCTGTCTCTCACCCCTGTTATATCGATGAACGTGTTGGAATACCTTTCTTTGTATTTGTAAATTACTTTCTGGTCTTGATAGTGTAGGGCAGTTGTTCCAGTCAACATCTTCTTCAGGCCCCTGTTTTGTTACACTAAAATCAGAAGGGAAAAAACCAAAATTGAAACTGAAAAGAGGGTAGAGAAGAAAAGGTGCGACCTTGACTTACATGATGAGGCTTGAGAGTTGATGTAATTGTAGAACCCAGGCTGCTGCCGCCATCAAAAGTACAATCCTGCTGTTGCTGGCTTTCCCTCAGCTTGTCGTCCCTCTTTTTGTGTATCACTGTCTATCCGTGTCAGAGCTTCTGTTGCTGAACTTCGAGGAGGGAGAATGGAGTGATGCCGGAGAAACGAACTGGTGTCGTCGCCGACATCATCTTCTCATCATCGTCATATCTGTCATCGTCTCTGTCCTTTTCTCGTCGTCATCGTCACCTCTGTCTTAGTCATCTAGAGGGAAATATGCATTTGGGAGACCGGGATCGATCATGCTTGGCCATGTACACAGGCGACGACGCTCCTCTTGAAGAAGACGGGAACTGGGAGGGAGATAGGAGGCGGCGCAATGGAGTAGAGCAGCATCCGGAGCCACGAACTGGGAGAGTGGAGTTCGACAGCGTTGCTTCCATATCCATCTTCAAGTCGACCCGTTGAAGGTTGATTGCGACTGCTTCTACGGTCGTTTCATGGACCTCGCCTTTCCCTAGGGATGACAAAAATATCCGTAACCGTGGATATCCACCCGAATCCGGCCTAATCAGGTAGGGTAAAACCCGAACGCGAAGGACATTTAGTGTGTACGGGTAAAACCCGAACCCGAATATTGCGGGTAATGGGTGGGCATGGGTTTCTGACTATCCAACCCGAACCCGCTCGATTATACGCATGCATGTGTATTTTCTCTAGAAATAATTATTATTTTTCTCTAACATATTTTATATTTAGCATATAAATATAATATTTTTATGAAATTGTGTTGTTTTAGTTAATTTTCTTCATTCTAGTGAACTATTGTCGCACTTTTCCTCTTACGTAATGTGTGAATACGTGTGAATGTTAACATATTGGTTGGAGTTATAAAGAGAAATTATTATCCATGAATAACCGTGGATACCCGAAACCCGAACGGGTATGGGCATGATTTTATTTTTCTACCCGTTTCACATGTGGGTATGGGTATGGGTAAAACCCGAACTACTTTGGGTAGGGTAACAGATATGCACTATCCGTCCCCGACCCGACCCATTGCCATCCCTACCTTTCCCCCACCTCGCTGTATGCTCCACTTGAGGCGGAGAGCATGGA